CAAAGGTATTCTGAAAATGAGAGGACAGTGGAGATGAAGTCAAGTGAACAGTAAAGAATACCAAAGAGGCACAGGCAGGAAGAACACAGGGCCAAAGTGAACACGGTAAAATGCTTACAAAATGCGCCTTTAGGCAAAGTGAGAGGAAAAGCCACTGATGTTCAGAGTTTAAAAAAAAAAAGCAATAAAAATAATCACACTTTAAAAGGCAGACACTTTACAGATAACAAGTGTACATTTAAGTCAAGCCTATGATCAGGAGAAATTTTTGCCAAGATTAAAAAATAAAAAGAAAGAAAGAAACTGCTATAATGGTTGGGTGGCCAGGCCTCATTCAGCTCACCCAAGACTATCTGTGACGTACCCACAGCCAGCTGTGTTAGTTAGGCACAGTAGTGCATGCCTGTAATCCCAGAGGCTCAGAAAGCTGAAGCAGGAGGATCACAGGCTCAAAGCCAGACTCAGCAACTTAGTGTGGCCATAAGCAACCTAGTGAGACCCTGTCTCAAAATTCAAAAAAAAAAAAAATAAGTAAAACGTGCTGGTAGATGTGGCCCTTGGGTTCAATCCCTGGTTAAAAAAAGAAAGAAAGAAAGAAAAAAAGAGCATAGTTGAGCTAAAATACTATAATGGGACTATGGGATATAGCATTTAACTCTCATTCTTAAAAGAATTTTGGGGAAAACATTTGTGGATGTCTATTTTCCACATTTCTGCAGTCCCTGGCCATAAGAAGCCACCTACCTCTCTCTCTGACCCTGAACTGTTTCCCTTAAAGACAGCAGCAGAGAGAGGCAGATTGTTTGTGAGGATGAACTATTGGGATATCCATCGTCATCAGCTAAACTGGGGTTTGAGGTCTGTCTGATGAACCTAAAATCAGACCCTGAGGTCACCTCCTTGTGGTATCACCTTAAGAAAGTTAAGTTCACCAGGGCTGTTTCCTTGTGAGTAAAAAGGAATCCCATAATAGCAACTTCGTAAGTTATTAAGATTGCATGAAATGATGCATGTGACAGGGGAGGGGACCCTACCACCCACAGACAATGTGTGTTAGTGTTCCCCTTCCCTGCCCCATTCAAATTCCAGTCTCAACTTGATCATTCATCAACAGTGACCCAGGGCAATTCATTCAATCCCTCTGGCCTCAGTTTCCACTGCTATTAAATTAGGAAGCAGAATTCAAGGACCCCAAGGCCTCTTCCAGTTGTAATCTTCCATCCAGTTAGAGTCACTGTCTAGGAGGGAAGTGTGTTTCCAGCCTCTAATTTTAGACATTTTGGTGCTCCCTCTTACAACCCTAAGTCCCTCTTGAAATCCCCAGGGTCAGCCCCTTTTAGCTTCTGCCCATCAGGGTCTATGATGCTGGCTTTATTGTTACCATTTGTACTATTGGTTGAAAGTTGTCACAGATCAAGAATTGTTTTAAGAATGGTGCAATCTTTAGCACAGAGTATATCCTCACAACAACATGGGGCACATTATTACTTACAATGCCCATTTTACAGATTAGAACATCAAAGCTCAGGAGTTCAAACAACTTACCAAAGGTAATAAATTCAAGGCTGGACCTTCCCAACTGCTCATAACCCCAACACGCTATTCTACTTTCCCGTCCTTTGTCTGTAGCTGGCTTGAGTTCTATCTTCTTACGGTCCTGAACTGTGTGTGCTAGTTTATATCATAAAGTACCTTACATTAATAATTTTACATGTTATACCTGCCAGGTATGACAGGGAGCTCATGGCAGGATTCTCAGGTCTTACAGCTGGAAGGTCAAGAAAGCATCAAGATGGGCAGGACCTAAATACATCTTTCAAATCTATGCACTATTAGCACATTACCAAATAGCTATGCAACTTCTGCATGAAGCTTCCAGGAGCTACATCAATTCTTTTAATTCAAACTCAGTCAGAATATCACAGAATAATAAAAGAAGAGGACTCACATTTTAGAGTTAAGAGCTCAGGGTTTACTGCCTGAGTGACCCTGGATAGAATCCTTAGCTTCTCTGCACTTCTTATCTATTAAATGACCTTGGGTAAGTTAACCTTGCAGAACTCGGGCTCCTCATCCATAAAATGGGACTGACATTAGCAACTTAGAGGAATGTTATAGGTGAAGAAGGAGTGCCTGGCCTGTAATAGAAACATATTTATCCAGTGGGAAAGTAGGGGAGCTTGGGTTATGACCAGGTTGTTTTCAATGATCAGAGTCATCTAGATGATAGAAAGATGGAAATCAATCAGAAGTGTAAGTGCCTGCCTGATCTGTGAGACCTCTGCTGCTGAGAGCTGAATGCACCACCGTGGTAAGGCCCTAGGATGATCTGACCTGACTCTGCTCTGCCAGGCTACCTGGCAGCTCTCGTTGGCAGCACCCCTTCCTAGGGAGAGGTTCCTGATTGGGCCAAGTGGCAGAGTGTAATCACACACCATTTCTCACCCTCTGAGCACCATGAGGTTGCCCTGGTAACAGTGAGCTATTCTCAGCCTTCTCGATGGGATCCCAACTTCTCTACCCATATCCCATGGGCTCCCTTTGGTTTCTCATTCTGCACCCCATGCTGAAGTCTCTTCTCCCTGCTTTACAAGATCAGAGGAGAAGTAAGAAAAGGAGGAACTGACTGTGCAGCTGGCCTTTAGCATTTTATTTCCTTATCATTTTATTTCCTTAGTTACGGCACATTTCCATTTATGGAGTACTTTTGCCTTATAAAATCTCCCAGTGTTTACTTCTAATCTACTAAATAATTCCTCTGACCTCTTCTTGTTTTTATCCTTTAAATATCTGTTGATGGTTCACTCACCGCATTCTCCATTCAGTTATTAATGGCCCACAAAAACTCACTAGCAGCAATCATTTACTGATTAATCTGCACAACAATCCAGAAAGACAGGTAGTATTAATCCTTAGTTCTGCAGAGGGAAACCAAGGGGAAAAGAGGTGCATTCAGTTGCCCAAGGTCAGTGTCTAAACAAGATTATAACCAGGATCTGACCTGTCTCTTGTCTCCTGTTTCTGTGAACACTCCACAATGCAGCTCCCTTCCTCCAGAAAAAGAACTGTCCACTAGGCTCCTTAGTATCTGTGTTGAGATTCAGATGTCACAGAATAGCTTAAAATGCCCAAAATTCACCCCCCAAATAATTTTAACTATGAAGAGTTCACAAAGTTGGCTAAAACAATGAGGTGATTGTCCTTGAAAGCAAATTTAACAGAGGCAAAAAAAAAAAAGTGAAAAGATAGAAATTAGAGACCCAAACCTGCTATAATGGTATTGAGAAAGTCACTTAACTTCTCTAAATTTCTGCCCCACCTAGAAAAGGAGGTGATTATGCCAGATGGTATTTAAAATGTTTTAAATAAGATTGAGCATAAAAGAGCACAAAATATAAAAGCCCCCAACATCCAGCACTGCTAAGATCCTGGTAAAACCGTTACATTCGTTTTACTGCAGGAAAACAGCCGCGGTGCTGTTGGAAAGCAAAATGCCATAAGCAGCAAGAACCACAGGAATTTCACATTCTTTGACCTAGAAATTTAAGTCAGACGTAATGTTTTATCCTAAGAAATAAGTCAATGGAAGCAAAAAGACATACGCATGAAAATGCACACTTCAATGCCAGTTACCGGAGGAAAACACTGATATCAAAGTAAATGTTCATTTTTGTAGAAAAGTCATACAAAGTTAAGAAACAGCAAACAAGATGAACGTCACATTGCTACTAAAAAGGATAAATAAGAAAATTACATAAAACCATTTAAAATCTTACCAACACTATTAAATGAAAATAGCCAAAAGTAAGGTGTATGTATTCTGACTCAACTGCTTATAAGTTGGATTGATCTGTAAGATCACATGAAAAACCAAAATCGTTATGTTATTAATTAGGCTTGTTTATTTTTTTAAATATTTTTAACCATGTTTAAAGAATATTATTTCTCTTTAACACATACATTTTATCATTTAACCAATCATTTAAAAATTTCTCAAACCTTACTTTAGTTTGATGGGAAACATTTTAGTATTTTTGCCTGAATCTCCTTAATACTTTTTTGCCTAACATATTATTTATGACATTAATCTTCCAGAGCAATTTCTGCTCTTCATGTTATAATTCCTTAGTGTCTTTAGAGTTTCTAAGCTCTCAGAATGCTATACTTCTTTCCTTCTTTCTCCCACCTAAGACAATTCTTGTAAATATTCCCCCCCCCCCTTTTTTTTTCTCTTTTTAATGGATCAGGGATTGGACCCAGGCTCTGATGCATGCTAAGCACATGCTCTATCACTGAGCAACACCCCAGCTCCAGATCCATCTTCTAATAAAGATATGAATAATCCCCAGACTGCTTTGCAATACTACTTGCAAACTACCTGACTTAGAACCCAATAATTTTTCAGAACCCACAACCCGTGGGTGCCTTTACACAGTTCCAGGGCAGTTTCGTATTTTAGATTTGGTGAGTTTTACAGCAGGATGTGATTTTTTTCAGGGATCGTAGGCACATTCTAGAACACTTAGAAAAGCTGCTCCTAAACAGCACTGTGCTAGAGCAACTTCACTTCATATAAGGACTGTTACATCCTCTTCCATTTCTTAGAAATGTTCTCTTGCTACTAGGTCATTTGTACATCTTTGATCCTAATATCTGGGAAAGATTGCAGAGCCAGTGAATTAAAAATATGATTCTAGGTCTCATGTGTGCCAACGCATACCCTCATTAAAGCAGAATGAGTGAGAGGAGATCGGTTTCAAAGCTTCCCATCCCTCTGCCCCAGAGCCGCCGAGGCCAGGCACTGAAAGGATGCACAGTAAAATTAAATATCTAAAAATTCATCTTTAATTAACAGAATTGGATTAAAGCTAGACATCACCGCATATCATACGAGAAATGGCTGAGCTGGCTTCCAAGTGCTCTAATTCAATTAGGACGCAGTGAGTGACACTCGGACGGGAAAGGTTAATTGGGGCCGCCAGAACGCAATCATTCCTTACCTAACCAGTCATTAAACTTCTTAACCTCTGAGGGCAGTCCCAGCTCGGTGAAATCGCCTGTGTGGAGAAGGATGTCCCCATAAGGCATCTGGATACCATCTGTTCTGGAGTGTGTGTCTGAGATGCAGACAAACCGCGTGTGGCCCGCTGGTTTTGGAGTGTCATATGGGATGGGGTCGACCCTAAAGTAGACATAACAGATCCCATAACAGTTAAACATATTAGAACCCTGGCAATTGTCATCGCACATACATATCGACTGTTACGTGAACACACCCAAACCAACCAATGCAGAGGCAAAATGACCCACAGTAACAGGGGACATTTGGGAGCATGAAGGAGATATAGCATCCCTCATCCACAACCCCACTGGACAAATTCAAAAAAGTCTTACTTACCTGGTAGGAAAATTAAAAGGGAAGAATATCTTACCTGGAGAATCAGAAATAACCCAGGAAATTGATAGAGTGATTAATAGTGAAGTTTGGGGATATTGAACCCCCAACTGAGGAAGCAAAATTATGCTATTTCTCTCTCATCATGCTTCAATTGATCCCACTACTCATTAGGAGATGGATAACTAATTTATTCCTTCTTAAACATGCATAACTTAAGCAATGAACTAATTTACAGAGAGCCGTCTGCACAGGCTCTGCCAACTGAGATGCGGAGAGACAGCACTTACATTTAATTTCCTTTCCACAACCATTCAACACCTGTATTCTTTCTGTTTTTGCTAAGAGATTCACAAATCAAATTGTGGAGAGGGAAATTGATGCCAAATAACAAGGCTTAAAAAAAAAAACAAAAACTGGATGTTAAAAGAACTTTGTCAAGCTCATCTTTATACCATGAATTATCTGCTGTCCCAGTTACACCTCAGGTTACAAGGAATACTCAGGTGCCTTGGGCGAAAGATTCTATTTCCTACAAAGTACGTCTTTTAATGGGTATGTATATGTCTACATATACATTAATATATGTATGGTTTTAGAGACCTAAGCACTGTGAAATTACACCAGGGCATAAGAATCAAAAGGCAAAGTGATCAACCCGAAGCCAAGAAAATGAAACAGAACATTCTCATTTAATTGAGTGTAACAAAGTGTACTAAATAAACTTGGTAAAGAAATGCAAATGTGACTCTTGGAGCATACAGTTTTAATTATTTAAGAGGTTGGTAGCGGAGTTAAGGATGTTTTCACTATATTAACTCTCCACTGACAGCTTCCTTTAATTTCTCTGTAGGAATATCTGCTTACTTTTGGATTATGGGCGAAAAGCAGCAGTTATAAATGCAAAGAGAAGGTCACAAGAGAAGCAAATATGCAATGCGTAGATTAGAGAGTAAAACGTTAAGTAAGGAACAATATTTCATATCACAGCCCCGCCCCAGATAGTTAGCGTGCAGCACAAAACACACTGAAAGCTCTAGATTCCAATACATATTGCCTGACAGGTTTTTTTGTTGTTGTTGTTCTGTACTAGGGATAAAACCCAGGGCCTCACACACGCTAGGCTAGCACTCTGCTACTGAGCCATACCCCATCCCTTTTCATTTTATTTGGAGATGGGTCTTGCTAAGGTGCCCAAGCTGCCCTTGAACTTGTAATCCTCCTGCCTCAGCCTCCTTCATAGCGAGGATTACCGAGATGCACCAGCATACCTGGCCTCTTTTTTTTTTTTTTAAGAAATAATCGGTTTTAAGAATGGCACTTTCAGTGAATAAATAAAGACACTGGTACAAAGCCCAGGCAGTCTCGCATTTTTCCAATAGTTGATCTTTTAATTTGTTTTATTTTTGTAAGAGAAGAAGGAAAGGACATGGAAAAGAAGGGAGGGAGGAAGAAAATGTGAAGGGTTACTGGAGTGGGTCTAATCAGGATTTTAACGTCTACAAAAAATTAATCCTTTTTTTCTGTAAAGGTTATAAATTAATATGCTGTTACCACAGAGAAAGTTCACTAACCCTCAGAGACCTTGCTAGTAACCCAAAGGCCTTCCCAATTACATTCAATGCTGTTTTTATACACAGCAATGTTTGGTGTCTTTCTCTGTCACGGAGACTAGATTACACTCCATCTCAGTAGTTCCAGTCTCACCAACAATCATCACCTGACTTGTAAAAGTACTTTCTCCAGAGAATAAATGACTTTTCGCTGCCACAACTGACTGTCACCCTCAAAAAATAATAGGTAATGTCCCAGTACCAAAAGTTAAGATGCTCACTGGAATGGAATTGTCAATCCACAATATTTGAAAGGACATTTAATAATCAACCACCAGACCACCAAATGTAAATACATTCAATATGATGTATGTGTACATGTGTATCATTATTTTCCAGTTTTCCTCCTAATGGTAATCCATAGACACAATGCCCAATTCTCCCCTTCTGCAATTGGGCTGAACTACGGGCATAGCTACTGCATCAAAGTCCGTGTGAGTCTATCCCAATTTATAGGGACAACACTGTCATCATTTTGAATTTATTAAATAAAAGGTGGCAGAGATGAAATCTTAGTTTTGATTTTCATTTCTCTAATTGCTAGAGATGTTAAACATTTTTTCATATATTTGTTGATTGTATTTCTTCTGTGAAGTGTCCATTCAGTTCCTTAGCCAATTTATTGACTGGGTTATTTTTTATTTTTTTTTTAATGTACTTATATGACTATACCAACAATGTGATTCTACAAAGAATGAGAAATTATACTCCTTTTATGGATAATGTGTCAAAGTGCATTCTACTGTCACGTAAAACTAATTAGGATAACCACCCCCCAAAGTGACAGATACGGAAACCCCTCATGTGAACAGGCCCTTACTCTATGCCTCTACCCACATTAGAGCAGCCAGCCATTCCATGGTATAGGACTCATTTGCCACCTTGGCTCCATACTGAGCAGTAAACTTTCTGAGACTCTGGGGAACACCAGTCAGTTATTTAATCACTTCAACCTCCTTCCCCACCTTCCCACCTCCTCCAGAGAAACATTTAAACATCCAGCTGAATTAACAGTTAAATAAAGTCCAGACAACATAAAAGTAGGGGGCAGGTAAAAGGAGGTAAGTGATTCTTCTCAGCTTTGAGCTGGAATGACACGAAGAGTCCAGGGCAAGCTTTGGCTGCCCCATCCACACCACCAACATGATGTCATCAAAGAAAATTTATATGCTGGAAAATGTACAGAGGATTGATAGGGAACTGGGGGGAGTGGGGAACATAAACATGCAAACCCAAATATAGACAGAAGCCCTGAACCTGGAACACTGATGTACTTTGTTCCTCACAGGACTAAGGGCAAAGCAAGAGACAGAGTTTCAGAAGGCAAGACAGACAGCATGCCAGAGCCTCATTGCAGGACTACAAGGCAAATATCACCTGGGGTCATAGGAAGAAAGGCATTTCTTCCCACGGACACTCAGAGCTGAAAATAAGACGTCTGGTGGAATGGGCAAGTTGCAGTGGAGGTAATTAAAGTTGAGACAACCCTAGGGAAACAACTACTCCCAAATTGGGCATCTGATAAACATCTTGAAAAGACGAGTCAAGACAGCCAGACATTTTCACTCTAAGAGCATGTCCAAGAGAGACCCTGACGCTGCAGGGAGATCCACCTTTTCACATTGTGGGGAGACCCTCACACTCCATTTTCCTCCTTAGTTAACAACTTTACCACTTCCTGTTTATGCTGCTGACTTCGCAGATGACCTAACATTTCCCCCAAGGCATCATGTCAAATATCCTAGCAAGTGAATATCTTACCGAGACAATCTAACCCCCAGAGCCAGATTCAAATATCAGAGTGAGATTTGCACATCCGTTTGAGGACACCCAGGGGAAAACAAGATGACATGGGAAGATGAGACGAAAACACGGCATTATAAAATCCCAGAGCAGAAGAAAAACCTCACAGGGCATCCGGTTCAACACTTTATATGATGCTTGAATTTCCTCTACCCCTTCCTTATCTAGTGCATATAAATTTTCATTCCAAGGTTTCCAGAAAAAGGGAGATCCCAAGCCCACGCCCTATCCACAGCAGGATCTGTTTGGGGTTCGGCTAGTTCTACTTGCTAGAAAGTTGCTGTTCTAGATTCTGCAACTCTAGGAAAGCTGAGCAAGGCCCAAAGACTTGGCCTAGAGCCTGAATTGTTGGGTAACTAGTTTGGCTGAGTCATTTGCTTTGGGCAAATTTATTAATTCCTTTGAGCTTCGTTTTTTTTCTCATCTGTAAAATGGGAATAATAATTTGCTACACCACTATGAGGATATTAACTGTCAAAATATAGGATCTGACATAGAATGCACGTTCCAAAAAGAGAGATGCAGAAGAGTAAGGGCAAAATGTGTTCGACTGTTAGAGCCAGACTGCGAGGCTCTGAATCCCACTCCACACGTATTAACAAATCATATTAGTAATCCAGTATCAGGGTTGGGTGTAGGGATCAGTGGTAGAAAGCTTGCCTAGCCTACTCAAGGGCCTGGGTTCAAATCCCCAGCACAGAAAAATGTGTGTGTGTGTGTGTGTGTTTATATATATATCAGAGAAATAGAAAAATTTAATTTCTCTGATCTGTCTTTCTACAATAAAAGATAATATAGCTACTCTCAAGGACTTTGCAAAAATTCATGAGAGGGTTGGAATCATAGCTCAGTGGCTTGCCTCACCTGTAAGGCACTGGGTTTGATCTTCAGCACCACATAAAAATAAATAAAATAAAGGCATTGTGTCCATCTTCAACTAAAAATGTTTTTTAAAAAATTAATGGGAGATCACATACACAATACCCAGCACAGTACTGGACCCATAATCCAGCCTTTAAATTCATTATGTTCTTCCCCTCACTACTTCTTTTTTTTTATCCCTTTATTTTATTTATTTTTATGTGGTGCTGAGAATTGAACCCAGGGCCTCATATGTGCTAGGCGAGTGCTCTACCGCTGAGCCACAACCCCAGCACCCCCTAACTACTTCTTATTCCTACTTCTGCACTCTGAAATAATAAGACTAAAAGAATCTAGTCCCTTTTCCATGTGACAGTTCTTCAAATATTTGAAAACACCTCTAATGACCCCCTGAAATCTTCTCTACTCCATTTAAGCAGTCACAGTTTGTTTTACCTTGTGTGGTGTGGTATCTGGTGCCCTCAGCAACCTGACAATCTCCTCCTAGAT